CGCGGGTGGCTCCGCCCCCCGGGCGGCGCCGGCGGGGAAGGGCGGGGGGCGGGCGACCCCGGGACCCGGCCGCGCTGGCGCGTCGCTTGCCCCTCTGGGCAGCCGGTAGGGGCAATGAAAACCGCAACAGCCTTCTGGAAACCTTCAGTGTGGGTCGGGCCCGCTTCTATCTCGCTTTACTGCCGCCACGACCCGGATGGGGAAACTGAGTCCCGGAGCACGCTGAGCTTGGAACCAGTTGAGTTCCTCTCTGGGCCCCCTTCCCCAGGACCTCCAGAGCCCTGCATCCAGGAGTCACCGTGGGTGAACTCACCGGTCCTCCTGTGGATTCAAGTCCAGCTGTGTGCCACCCCACCAGATGTTGGGTCGTGGCACATTACTTACCTTTCCTCTGCCTCTGGAAAACCGGAAGAACGACCTCATAGGGTGTTTTAAGGATTCAAAATGTTATGTTACTTATAGGTACTGGGGTATACATGACACCATTTCATGTGATAACGAAACATAACAAGTTAAGTAGCCATTCTAGGAGCCTGGTTAAATAAAGGCACAGCCCCGCTAAAATGGATGATGCAGGGTCCATATGCACTGACAGGAAGGCATGTCCAGGATATTTACAGGCTATTTAAGTGAAGAAAGCAACTTAAAGAAGTTAATCATTCTAGAAAAGGAAATGGTAAAACTTTGCTTTCCCCTCCTGCATGTGTGTAGTCTGGAGAAATTCTTTCACGTGTACACAACAAAATCCTGAGTGGCAGTCCTTGAAATAACACCAAACTGGAAACAGCCTATATATCCATCAACAGGAGAATGGATTTGTTTCGTTTGCAATATGCGGCGGTGAAACATTATATAGCAGGGAAAACGAACAAGCTACAATGACATGGATGGGTTTTAGAGACACGAGCGGTGAAAAAGACAAGTCCCAGAAGACAAAACTACACACTATATTAAGCATACAGCTGGCAGCAGGCTACTTCCCCCAGCCAGGGAGGGGGTTAGCTTTTGCCTATCCGAATGATTAAAGTTTTACAAGCAAGAACACAGTTGTCTCTGTGGGGTAGGCAGGGATGCAGGAAAGGGGAGGGAGGAAACAGAGGCGGGCATTTCTAGTGCCACTCTGGTCTTTAAGTGGGACGTGGGTTTTGAGAGGTTCACTATATTGTTATGTTTTATAATTTACAAGAATGATCTATGCCACCATTTGTATGTATCACAGTATTTTTTTTTAATGTGTATTTATTTTTGAGACAGAGGGAGACAGAGCATGAACGGGGGAGGGTCAGAGAGAGAGGGAGACACAGAATCGGAAACAGGATCCAGGCTCCGAGCCGTCAGCACAGAGCCCGACACGGGGCTCGAACTCACGGACCCTGAGATCATGACCTGAGCTGAAGTCGGACGCTTAACTGACGGAGCCTCCCAGGT